ATTCCAAGTGAAAACATTGAAGCAATTTTTTCTCAATGTTGTACAGCAACTTGCAACATAGAGCAACATAGGAAAACTTTTCGGAACCGTTTCATCAACATGCTGTGTTACTTGGATAACCCTGAAAGCATGAGCAGGTCTTAAAGGTACTACTTTGAATGGTAGAGAAAGGTTTGAAAGGTGAGCATTCCTGCTTTTCACCCTTTCTTATTCCCATACACTCCTTTATTCCCATACTACACTTCAACATTTAATAATTCCCTAAGTCATATATTGCGGTAATAATATCATCGTTCATGTTTTCCTAATATGTATGTTTATAAATTGCACAATGAAAGGAGGAAAGAGGGGAAAAAGACCAGATATTATTTCATGAAATCAGGTACTTAATTGCATTTGTTGGGTGCAGGGAACATGGGTTCCATCTACAGATAGTGAGGGCTCTTGGTACTAGAAATAGTCTATAGTCTGCTTGTTTCATATGTATGTTATGGTGTTGATTTCGCATAAACTTCATGTCATGGACTTTATATCAGGTGAAGTCATGTCTAGTTTATATGAAATACACATCCCCCTAAGTGATGTAAATAGAGGAATGTTATTTTCATATGAACGTGATATCACGTGCATGACAATCGCGAGAAATTGATATTGTTTGCAATAAATGTATATCTTGTTTACATAAACGTGCTGCTTGGGCTGCCTTGGACTTATCACGAGACCTTCTCAGACGGCATTGGGTCGGGGTGAGTCCAGGAGCAGAGTCGACAACTTTTATTTGGCATTCCCATAGGTTCTATGGGGAAATGCCAGATATTGCGGTCGGTTTGTCACTTTTTTACATTTTTCATTTTTTTTGTTTCCATTCCGTCTGTCCGCAGTAACCGTAGCGACCGGACAACTCGACCCAATGCGAACGCATAGCTTTCCGCCTGGGTCGGGGTGCCTGTCTTCCACGAAAACATCCACTTCCCCTCCAGCCTTGGCGGCTGACGGATCCATAGTGGACAATGGAGGAGAGCGGCTGCTCCCGACCGCGTAGACAGGGTTGCTAAGCGCACGCGTGAAATGCCGTATCTGGCATCCCACACTTCATACTGTCCTCCCAACTCCACGCGACGCGGACGCGCGGACCTTCGAGAACACGTCTAGTTGTCCAGATCTTTTCGTGTAGGCCTACGCCGAACCAATGACAGCTATTATTTATTTCAAGGTTGGATGGTTAGGATGGTGAGAAGATATGTAATAAATCCAGTTGTACAGGGGCCAATTGAAAGCCAGATCTGTACCTGGACTGGTACTCTCTAGTTCTTTTTTTAACTCTTGAGCTTAGGTTAACTCTCACTCCCGGAACCACCAATCAATTGGCAAAGAAATGCGCTGCTACTAACCTATCCTCGACATTATCACTCATCCCATTAAAAGAGAACTTAATATTACTTTCAACTCCATGATCATCGGTAGAATGTTTATCGTATGACGAACAAGAATCATCCCGTTTGGATGCTAGAGACGAAGAAATCAAGCTCTATTCGAGCTCTGCAAATGCTGCTTATATCTTTAAAATCAAGTGTTCATCCAGAGGTAGGAAAAGCGAGGACGTTCAATTATGTCTGTGACAACTCAAAAGCACCTATCAGCACCAGCCTCTAGTGGACTGAATCGTTCCAACACGAGATTTAGAAGAAGAACCAGCCATTTTATGGTGAAACGTGAAGTCCGAATGACGTTCGACGCCTTTTCTCCTTGCCTTTTCTCGCTCATTGCGACCCGAAATATCGCTTTCCTTGCTCGGGGCTCAATCCATGTCATACACGATTCTCAATTTGTCTCGTGCCGATAGGTGTTGTGTATTTTATTTCCTGCAGATACTTATGCATCGTCGACTATCGAAGAAGGGGAAGGGGTGTCAGCGCTTCAATATCCTGATTCTCCCAACTAAAATGCTAGCAATAGGTCGGAAGATAACGAGGTGAATACCCCAAAGCGTTCCGAGAAACCAGAGTGGCTTTTGTGCAAAGTTGCATCGAAATAAATGGAATCTCATTCTACCATAGTCCAGAATGGGCGTGAATAAATTCGGTGAATGACTTTTTTGAATGAAAGCAAGAAAAGCGACGAGGACTGAATGGAGTTCATGGAATCTTCCATCACAAAATTCTGATGGGAAACGAGAGGTTCCGAGAAGTTCCGAAATCCCCTATAAAAGCGGACACCGAGGCTGGAACCCAACAGTCAAGTCCAGCATCCCTCAGCATCTCTCAGCATCCATCGGCATCCTTCTCTCTTCAACTGCCATAGACCATGGGCAGTACAGTTTCCCTAGTGTCTCTGTTTCTGTTCGCCCTAGTCTTCGTCTCTCAGGTGGCTCTTCCGGCCCGATGCGAAGTCCACGTACTCCTCGTTCCAGGTCGGTCTGACGATCTTTTCCTCTGCCTTATAGCTAGTGCAATGTTGCAGACATATACTGAATCGAAATGTAACATTTTCGAATCGTTATATTTTAGTTTCCCATTGTTTGTTGCGTCTTGACTTTCAATCATTCATAGCATTCTAAAAATCGAGTCTTCCTTTGTTTTTCAAGAAGTGAGTCTCCTCATGAAGCCCTCTCTCATGTCTCCGTGGGTGTCCCAGGGCGAAGCATTATTCAAAGTTCATGAGCATCTGATGTCTTCAGATTTGCAGCATCACAGTTGACATTGCAGGCGGCAGGGGTGCAGACCGGGAGGAAACGTGGAGTTTCACTCACACGGACGAAGACGAAATCGAGCGGAGGAAGCGAGAGACCGACGTGGACTCGGAACCGGAGGAAATGCAGCAGATGAGACGCAACAACAACCAAAACAACAAGGGCAGCAGCGAGGAAGGCGAGGGAGTTCATGGTGGCAATGGGGGAGGACACAAGAACCGCCAGGGCAGTAAGAGGAGAAATCATCAGGGGAGTCAGAAACACCACGGAAACGGCAACGGACGAAGGAAACAGCACGGCAACGACTGGGATCTCGGAGGGACGGACATGGAGGAAAATTCGCGGCAGAAACGAGAGACCGACGTGGAATCGGACCAAGACTGGATGCAGCAGATGAGACGCGACCAGGGTAAGAGCAAGATCAGTGAATCCAACGAGGGCAACCTCGAGGGAGGACAAAAACACAACCACGGCAGAAACCAAAACGGCCACAACCATAATAATCATAACAACCACAACCAAAAGGGCAGCAGCGGCGAGGAAGGTCATGGCGGTAGGGGGGGAAGACGCAAGCACCGACAGAACGGCAAGGGAAGAAATCACGAGGGGAGTCAGGAACACCACGGACACGACAACGGACGAAGGAAGGAGCACGGCAACGACGGGGATCTCGAAGGGACGGACACGGAGGAAACTTGGCGGAGAAAGCGAGAGATCGACCTGGAATCGGACCCAGACTGGATGCAGCAGATGAGACACGACAAGAGTAAGAGGAAGAGCAGTGAATCCAACGAGGGCAACCACGAGGGAGGAGACAAGCACAACCACGGCGGCAACCACGACCACGGCAGCAACCACAACCACGGTGGTAAACACAAAGGAAAGAAGCACAAGCACCACAACCACGACGACAATTGCAACGGCAGGAGCTGCGGCTGTCCCACGTGCGGCGGGAGCATGAACTGGGGCGGGAGCTCCAACACCACCATCATCATCAAGAAGAAACCCATCGACGTCCAACCCGTCGATGAATTCCAACCAGAGTGACTTTTTCCTGAAGGAATTCCATCAGGATCCACGGAGATGCTCATTGCCGACAAATGTGCTCTCTAATGTCTACCAAAAATACAATTTTAGTTGATCTATGGGAATGACCCTTTAATTCTCAAGACGGTCACCGAACCAAACACACGATTCATCGATTCGGGGGGAAATGCATCCATGGTATTAAAGTCATGTTTCCCCGAGTCAGAGGAAACTGGCATAAATGTAGGATATGGATTATCACAGCGCAGATCCGGGAGATCCGACGAAATCTCCCGACCGGGAGAATTCGTCTCAACGCCCTATTCCCCCTGGCCATTCGCTCTGGTCAATTCACATTGATGCACTCGACCTGCTTCCTGCCTCTGCAGATAAAGGAGTATTATAGGTTGGTCGTTCGGAATCCTTATCTCTCCCTCCTGGGAAGTAAACACATGAAAGGATGAGATATTCGGAATCCCGGCCGGGATCCTCTGACAAGTTGGATTTATAACCACGAAATGAAATGGAAGCGGCGAACTGCTTGAAATGCGAGGTTCTTGGCTCTGACGTGGCCCTCTTCAAAAACGTTTATCTCCAATATCTCCATTCATATTTCTACAATTCCTCAATGGGAATCGCCAAATCCACTTCCCATTGCATTCGATATTTTCCGTTGAAAAGTGATGAAGCCCAAACTGATAAAAACAATCCAGCTCAAATTAAGAGTAAATCTGGAATAGAGCCTTGGTTCACGCACACCAGCAGTCAAAAGTATTGAATATTTCCAGACTGTTGGCGATATTAATGGTAGTGCAGGTCGACCGATCGTATCTTTGAGAACTCGGAAGGATGTCGAATCCAAACCAGCAATCATCTCTCGACCTCGACACGATCGATGGAATTTCTGGCATCACAACAGCGTTCACTCGGTCGATCGTCCATCATACCCCTATCGGCCTCATATGTAGTTCTCGCCGGTCTCCGACGGCGAGGATCCGCCCGGGTGCGATGGCGCATGCAATGCATGGAGGTCCACCCACGCGAGAGTCCCCTTCTGGTCTCCGCGTGAAAACGATGAAGGACGTTCGCCTGAGTCCTGCGTGTGAGACGATGGAGGACTACTGCCCCATGGGGGACGAGTCACCGATTCCGGCCGGTATTCTTCCTCGACGGAGAAGGTAAGTTTTCCGAAGTCCGCGAGCCGAAATGCAGTCTCCTCGTACGTCGGATGAATGACTGCCATCGTCGATGACGGTGACGGTTCCCCGACCGTCCCATCTCCGCCCATCGCGGTCGGCTCTCGATCCCCGTCGTGGCCCTCGCCTTCGTCGTCAGCCGAAACGTCTCGATTCGAGAGAAGGGGCCGAGGCCTGGGGAACATCTTCTCCACTCGGAGGCGCCGAACGCCCAGGTGCAGAGCGTAACCCAACAGAAAGGCCAAGAACAGCAGACCGACTGGAAACGATCGGGAAAAAAAATAGGAAAACAGGAATGCGAAAGGGGGGAATTATCTTGACTCGAGAGATCGGCTTTCTCACGGCCGATGACGATGAAGAGGGTCGCCGCCGTCGTGTGATCCGAGTTTAACAGTCCGAGACCGTAGAAAAATTCGCTCAGGCCAAAGATCCCTAACACCAGGATTACAGCGTATGCATTGCCCACCTCCTGAAAAAACACACATCGGCATGCGGAGGGGAATAGTAAAAAAAAAAAATTCACAGCAAAAATGCGAGAGATTCTTTTGCATATTCCGGCGAATAAACAAAGGTTCCACTGCCTCTCGAAAATTCAAGTAAGAACTTTGGCTTGGAGGCAAATATGAAGGCTTCGAAAGGATCATCTGGGATCATCTGACTGGGCACTTAAAAAGAAATTGCAATCTTTCGAATGCCAATCCCTTTCCATCCATTTCTTCCCTCTCGTTGTGTGAAGGGAGATTCGCCATCTAAGTTTTAAACCGATAAATTAAAAAAAAAAGTTGGAGAGAAGCGGGAAATGCTTCTCGATTCTTTGTGCTGGCCGACACGAAATTCCATGTCTATTTAATCTCGAGATGACTCTTTTTGAGAGAATTCCTTTTCGTGAGATTAGGTCCCGTCCAGTTTGGTCGGGTCCCATTTTAGGCCGGAATGGCTCCATTTTGAAATGAAACGAATGTACTTAATTTCTCTCCTGTAGTTGTTTTCTCAGTGAGGGGCAGATCCTTTAGAGCCTTTCATTATATCTCATTTCCAAGAATAGACCTTTCGGATGAAGCATTCTTACTTTGTATTCTTTCAAGTGTTCATAACAGAGATTGTATAAAAACCATCTCGAATGTCCAATTGATAAGCTATCTATTTAAAAAGAATTTTTTTTGGGGGGGGGGGGTTGGAAGGAATATTTTCAGCTCTACTTTCGGACTTGCTACATCTTCAAAATGATTATTTGTACGCGCCAAACGATCAGTAGCTAGGACTTCTTGTCAGAATCGTCATTTGCCATACGCCTGCCGATGATGGCGTCCAGAGTGCGTTAATCTCGATCGCGAGGTTTCTTTCAGAGCGGACTGGACTTCTCGGAAAGAGACCTACGGGGACTCAGGGTAGAGACCGAATCGAGAAACATCCCATTCAGCTCTCAACTAACACTTAGACAAGCCGGAAGCAAGGGAACCACGCGACGCAGACGACGAAGCGGAATGAAGGAACGCTGCGTCGTACCCGCACTGTGAAGGCCTGCTCGAATCCGGGGAAGCCAGCCACGCTCACCACATCGTCCTCCCTCAACGGGACGCTCTCGAGTGAGGAGAACCGGGGACCCATCCGCGAATCCTTCTCACCGTATAACCTTTTCAAACGAGAACCATCCCCATACGAATTCCAAGACGAATTCCCTCCCCACGGTAACGGATGCTCCAGACAGGACTGCGAGTCCCGGCCTTCATCGCGGATCGCACCTATGTTATCTCTTCCCAGATAGCATCGAGTCAACCAATAGACAGCGCCTCGAATGGGACTCATGTTTATTTTGTTCGCCCATAAATGGAGTCAATTTCACGTGATACAAGTGGTCTCCGTTGCACAGCGCGCAGTCGAACTCCTGCACCGCCTGACGATGACTCAACCTCTCATCGGCTTCTTTTCTTCTTTCCCATCCGCTCGAGATGCAGCATCGGTTAAAATCGGAATCGCAGAACGTGGAAGTCCGAGGTGAGAAGCTCAGCTCCGACACGGCCATCATCCGATAAATCGGTCCATCGATTCGGGCCGAGTGCCAAGTTTCACGCTTACACGTCCAAATATTTTTGCTGAACATTTAGGGCGATCTATTAATTGTGGTATTGTTGTTCTCAGTTGTTGGTTGACGTTCAGTGTGGAAGAAAAAAATTACTGCAATAATTTCGAAATTTGCTGTTTTGTGATGTGTGAACTCTAAATTAAAACTAAAATTTCACCTGCTGGAATGTGATTTATGTTTGGATTACAATTATTGCCTTTTTTTGCCTGCCTGAATTCCTGGATTAGAACTTCATGAGTTATTTCAACGACCGAAAGATCGGAAAACACTGAAAAGAAATGAAAACATGAAATTCAGGGTGACCCATAGAGGAAACATTAAATTAATTAAATCAGGTAATTAAAGGGAAAAAGTTGAAGGAAGAGAAATCATATCGAGGATAAATCTCGAATAATTTCAAAAGGAAAGAAGATAATGGGATTTGGATGAGTCCAAGAGAGGATCTTGCAAGATGGAAGCCAGAGGAAAAATGGGATTTCGTGGCGGAAATGTCCTGTGCAGTGGAATCCGCGATTCCTTTTCCGCGCAGCATGCCACGTGGTCCTCGTTGGGTTAACGTGGCTTGAAGTGCTTAGGCTGGGTGGCTTGAGGCTTTAAGCCACCCAACAGGATTTGAAAGTCGTATTTGATAGAGTCTTAAGTTCACGCTGCTTGCCAAGAAATCTGCGTCTGTCGAAGGAAAAGGGCTTGTATTGACGTATTGGGAAGGTCCTCAAGTTCTCACAATGGTCGCAAAATGCATCATGCAATTTGGCATTTCGGAGCAAAATACGATCAAGGAAAATCGCGGCATGCAACGTCAGAGGAAACTCAAAAGAGTAGAGCGGGGAACGCGGATTATCACAGTGCGGGAATTATCCGGAAGCTGAAGCCGACGAGATCTCACGACTGGGGGAATTCGTCTCACGACTGGGGGAATTCGTCTCACGACTGGGGGAATTCGTCTGAACGCCTTGTTCCCCCTGGCCGTTCACCGGTCGGTTCGCTCTGATGCACTCGTCCTTATGACACCGAAGAATCCCCCCGGCGAGGAACCTGCAAGTGCTGGCCAGGCACCTCGAACAGGTACCCACAGACTAAAAATCCATTTTTTTTTTCAATGAAGCAACTGCATCATCACTAGAAGCATAACACGAAATACATCCCGGAAAGATGCCGTATTGAGGCGCATGAGCAATCCAAGTGATTCCAGATAGATGAGTCGTGGTTCCATCCATCTCCCTTCTCGCACCATTCTCCTCCTCGGTTTATCCACAAGATAGCTTATCACTTTCCTTCCAAGCGTATTCTTTCCACTAGTCCTGCTGACAGCTGCCGATCGCGACGATGAAACGGACGAAGGCCACCCGCCCCCCTCTCCCCCCTCCTCCCCCCCCTCACCCCTCGAATCCACGCCCGCAATCATCTCGACTTCGATATTTTCGATTGAACTTAAGGTATACAGCCATTCGGCCGATCGACGCAAAGTTCCGTCCCCCCCCCCCCCCGATCTCACATGTAATTCGCCCTGGCCTCAGGCGGCGAGTTCCTGCCCTCATGCAACGAATGCGACGGCGGATGCCCGCTCGATCCCCTCGAATAACTCGGCGTCGGATCGCCCAGATCCACCGAATACAACGGCCCCTCCTCTTGCGCCGCGAAACCCCTCGCACCCGCCACCGGCGTCCTCTCCTCCTCGACCGAGAAGGCAAGCCTCCCGAAGTCCACGGCCCGGAACTCGCTCTCTTCGTACGACGGGTGGATGATCGCGACCGCCGTCGGCGGCGACGCGTCGGGTTCGTCCCGCCACCCGTATCGAGAACCGGCGGACTCCTCGTACCGGGAGCCGGCGGACTCCTGCTCCTGGCTCGGGTCCGACGTCGCACTCTCTCGATCCCCGAGGGTCTCCGGCATGGGGAACATCTTCTTGACGCGGAGGCGTCGGACGCCCCGGTTCAGCGTGTAATTCCCCACGAAACCGATCGACAGCAGAAAAACTGAAAAAAAAAGTGAAAATGAAGAAAATCGGCTTGGAAGACTCTCACTCGAAAAAGGACCCCTCACCGCCGAGTGCCACCGCCACGATCCCCACCACCGTCGAATCCGTCACCACCAGCATCCCGACCCCGAACAGGAGTTTGCTCAGCCCGAAAATGTACTTGAGAATGATGACGGCGTACGCATTGCTCACTTCCTGCAAAAAGGGACATCCCCGTTCACCGCGAAGGGAAACGAGTGGAAGTCGAACGGAAGAGACGATTCTTCGCTCGATGCACTCGGCAAACATAAGCTCAGATACATTCTCAATCCTTCCCAGGTTTAACTCCTAAGCGAATTTTCTTCCTAGAAAATAAATCATCGACCCCTCCCCCTCCCCCCCCCTCTTCTCCCTCTCCCCCCCTCTTCTCCCTCTCCCCCCTCCTCTTCTCCCTCTCCCCCCGGCTTTGAAGCAGAACCGTTATGCATTGATTCTGCGGGTGAACGGTTTACCCTTTGACTGTCACACCCGAGTGAGAGAATTTTCTAACACGAAAAGAGACAAAAGAGACAGAGAAAAGATCATCAGTACCATTTAAATAAATAGAAATATAAATCGTCAATGCTTGCAAGCAATTTTTTCACTGCTGCATTTCAGCAAGTTCAGAAAAACTCCCCACCGAAGTTTTAAATACCGAAAAAAAAAACGAAGTTTTAAATACTTAAAGATTCTCGACGGCGAAGGGGTTAAACTAAATTCCGGCTCGTCTTAAGGAGAGGAGTTTCACCTCAGAAAACCGAATTTCAATCCAATATTAGCTCAGATTTTAATGCCGAAAATTTGCCTTCCTGAAACGATAAATCATGTCTCGGCCGTCCGCCATTAGCCGTCACGCGTTGACTTGTGGTATGACCTATTCGGTTCGATTCTGGACGCTCTGGGAGAAAAATCGGTCGAGAAGAGCGAAGCAACAATTGCAACAATTTGGGAAAATGATCCGGGGAGTGGAAACGGATGGCGGGACGGCCTCGTGTCGTCTAAGGTGCCCTTTAACTCCCGATGATGTCATCGTTAAAGGTCTTGCCGGTGGGGCCTTGACCGTAGCGACATCGATTCCGCCGATTCCACCGTTCGATCTTCTCGGTCCACCGCTCGGGATCTCGTGGTCCACCGTCCACCGCGGACCGAGAGGTTTCGAAGGCCGTCACGGCGGTGAACGTTCGAGAGGCGACGAGGTTGCCCCTCGCCTGCCCATCTTTCTTCGACGACAAAGGAAGGAACGTAACCGTAAACGCGAATGACCTCGGTTTCCATTTTCGTGACCGGATTTGCCTTTTCGGGAATAAAGGCTTCATCACAGGACTGGATTTTATCCTCTCCGGACAGCTTATTTCTACGTCAGAAATAAAGCACATGTTTACCAAAGCATTAGCTTAGAACATTGGTATTCGAGGAGTATCTCAGCTCGTAAAACGTGACATCATTCCACTGAAGTCACCGACCCACCGGAACATGACGTTACTCACATGAGTGGCTCTCGTACATTCCCGTCTTATCTCGATTCGGTTTCGAAGCATTCCCCCCCCCCCCCCCCCCCCCCCCCCCCCCCCCCCCCCCCCCCCCCCCCCCCCCCCCCCCNCTTCAATACGAGCGATGAGGGAGCATTTGGTGAGTAATAAGAGAGTAAATTCGAAAAGCTCACGGTGTGCTCAGTTTTTACTCCCCAAACGCTCGGAGTTTTCTAAGAGTGTATGAACTTGCAGCCCAGAGTAATTTCCTCCTGAGATTCCTTACGGGCCGAGCAAATTCCTATCAATCACGGAGCGCCAAAGCCAGGAATTTCGTGATGAATTTCGTGAGGAAGAGACTTGAAGAAAATACAAATCCAGGACTTTTGAATCGATACTGTGAAGTACCCAAATCGCGTTTTCAGATAAAGCGATCAAATGTGTCAGGGATCTAACGACGAAAAAGAAAGAAAAGGGATTCTTGCTCAAAAATCTCCGTGGAGTTTTACCTCCAGTGCTATAAATGCTCCCATCCGCATCGAGTGAAATTCCGACCTATCTCATCTATAATTGTGCTGCCTGTAGCCTTGGCGGGCGGGCGACGAGCCTGTGCCTCTCCGAGCCGTAAGGTTATCGGAAGGACACGGAACTATGCGTGTCACGTCTTCTAGTGCAAGAGGAAGTACCTCTCCCCCCCCCCCCCATCAATAGGTGACGTCGTTCTCTTCAAGTTTTTTATGTTGATGCTAGTGAGTATAGGAGGTTGAAAATGCTCGGACAGTAGCTGGGTTCCTCGAGACGTCCATTTCAAATGCACCCCATCCTTGCATATCGATTCTCTCGTCGAAGTAGGTCAACGCGTGCGGGATGAGGATCCAGAGACGGACGAGACACCCGGAGCCATTCCGAGAAGGCGGATGGAATGTTCCTGGGGGTCTGCGGATGGAATGTTCTTGGGGGTCTACGGATGGAATATTCCTGGGAGTCTACGGATGGGATATTCCTGGGAGTCTATCTTCCGATCGATTGTGTCCGTCTCGTTTTCCGTTTTTTCCTTCTCCGCTTTTAAAGCTCTCTCGATTGAATAACGGAGCGAGACGTCTCATTCCTCTCATTCTCTTGTTACCGGTCAAGCGTCCATGGACGAGGTCGTGTTCTGGTCGTCGTTGCTTTCGGTCGGCTTCCTCTCGACCTTTCCAATCGAGGATCGAATTACTTTGAGACGACGAGTGGGTGACTTAAGTCGACCGGTCGATGCGTGGATGCCTTTAATTGATCCCATGCCGAAAGGGCTGGCTCGGGGTTCAGGTAGGGGCGTGAAGAGGCGTTTTTTCTCTTTATGATCACGAGTTGCCGGGCTTTCACGCGTGTGAACCGAGTGGAAACCCTCGAAGGGGGACTGGATTAGGTAGGGAGGGAGAATTTTTGGTCGTTTGAAGGAGTATGTAGTTGATCCATGAGTGAAAATCAGCATTAAATGATAGAAGATTCGGCTGGATCGCAATCGCATCCTACGAATGCAGATTGGGGAAAAAGTTACTCAGATGATCTACGTGAGAAACCATAGGAAACTGTGTCAAAGCGACTCCTTACTATGGCCACTACAGCTCCATCTCGCGCTGGTTTTCGGAACCTTCTCAGCCGCATTGGCTTATCTTCGGCGAATGATCGTGAGTTGGCCGGCCAACCATGATGTGCCAATCTCCCCAGCTATGACCCGACGATAAACCAACGAAAAATTTGATTGGGTCCCCCCCCCCCCACTCCCCTAGTGTGAACGAGCCAACGAATCTACACGCAGAACGCTGTAAGCACGAAATTCCATCTAGCGTAAACCGAGGCAAACACGCCTGAGGTGCGACATCCTCCCTTGCAGCGACATCCTCCGCGCCCCATAAGATGATATCATCTTCCTGTGTGATTCCGCCTCGGGACACGCCCTCCAGGAGATCGCATCCCGCTCGCACCTCGCAAGCGCGAGTCTCAATCACAACTCATGCGCTGAAACCCGCGCCAGGAATCAGTTCGAAAAGAAAACCCTTTACTCGAATGGGGAGTAAGTACATCCTGAGAAGTGGAGACGACGCGGCTCGCAGCACATCCTCCTCGTTATAAGTCCTTCTTCATCCTCGCCGTCCAATCCACAGTCGAAAGAGAGGAAGAAAGAGGTTCAAGTCATTTTCCACTCGTTCCTCGACACTAAGCCTCGACTCATTTTCACTCGACGCCTTTGGAGAACTGAGAACGTCACTACCGTCTTATGTCGACGGCTGCAGGTATCTAAGCTAGCTGAACGTATCGAAGGTCGATCGATTGCATTGAAACATCGTCTCAAACGTAATAATTCCAGTAATCTGGTATAATTATTTTTTTAAGGAGTATGTAGATGAATAAAAACCAGCATTAAACTATTGAAACGGGATTCGGTTGGATCGCAATCGCATCCTATGAATACATATCGGAGCAAAATATGCTGTGCAGAACACAGATTATGATGCATTTTCTATGCGGGGTGATACGCCAGAATCATACGCCTGGCCGAAGAAACCGGATAAAAGGAGAGAAAACTTACGATGAAGAACTTGAGACCGAAAAGGTACAGGCCGCCACGAACGGACCCGAAGAATACGGTCGCATCCGGACGCACAGTATAGAAGAACGAGTGTTCGACCCACATCCCAGGGGACTGAACGCGAACAGCCTTTTTCTTCGACCGAGAGAGCCTCACCTCGACCGAGAGAGCCTCACCTCGACCGAGAGAACCTCACCTCGACCGAGAGAGCCTCACCTCGACCGAGACAGCCTCACCTCGACCCGAAGACGCACGTCCCTGTGCTCGCTCGTGGCCTCCTTGGAGGCGATCCAGACGAGAGGATTGGATTCTTCGAGGCGATGCCGAACCGGTCGTCAGGATCCCCAGACCTCACGGGTCACATCTTGCGGTCCGACGACGCTTCGCTTCGAACCGTCCCGTCGACCCTACCGTTCTCGGAGGGAAACCATTAACCATTTCCCTGCACGTACAAACGCGAATGGCCGAGCTCGTGCTGCCATCTTCCAAATCAACGCGTCAGATGAGTTAGTACAAAACATACTCAACAGGTGCCGGGACGGTGTCGCTACTTGTCTCTTTCTGGCAGACGCTGGTGCGAGCTCATCACGAACGCAATAACATCTATCTAGAAAATCTATCAAAACCATAAAAAAATGTATTTAAAATAGCTAAATTAAGATGAAATTCTGCGTAGAATGAATTTTTAAGCAAGAATTTTCAACTTAATTTGTTTGCCTTCCTTCAGAGCTCTTTATGTAAATTAAAGTTTTAACTACAATAATTTCATCCCTCGGGACAACAGCGCCCCTCTCATTGCCATCAAAAAACAATGGAACCGGTCGGAGATGACCGTGGAGTCATACCTACAGATGCGAACACTTAATGACTGACTCGCCATGCAACAACGATACCAACGGCCAGGAAAATGGTGGCACATCTCGCTGTTCGCGTTCGAGAACGAGTGGGGAGGAAATTTCCCGGAAGGACATCACCGGTCCTCGCATTTAACCCGATGATTTCTGGTTCCGGGGAGTCGCAATGAGACGACGTGTCTGCTCACGGCACGAGGAAGCCTCGTGCCGTTGTCGATGCTTAGGATGTTCGCGTCGTTCGACGTTCGTCCTTTGCCTCTATATATGAGGGGTGTGTCGAAAATAATGAGACTTTTGATGCCGTCGCGGCGCTTTGCGTCGTAGAATCCTCAAGTTCGGTGGGAAGGAAGAGGGATTCGAGAGCTTGAACCACGTGCAGGACTCGCCCGGAAATGACGACGTAACGAAAATATGGTTGTACTTTCAGCACTTTACGCAATTGCATTGCACCGGTATCGACAAACAGGCCTCTCGGCCATCTCGGTGGGTCGCGCGTCGCACAGCTCGTGGATCGCAAGGGGCGCAGGTGTCCTCTCGACATCATCACCGTGAAGGGCGGCACACTTCCCCCACCGACACGACGACTTGTCGAAAGCCGACCGGAAGACTTCTTGTGCCCGTTCCCTTACACACAGCTAGACGGCACTGCACACCCCTTCAAGCGTCGCGAACCTCCTCATGAACATGGTCTTCGTGGCGGGGTGGAAAATCACTCGGGGCGAGATCGCGGAAGGGAAGTGGCTTCTCCAAGGCCTGGTAGCCCAAAGTAGAGGAGCTCTGTGCCTCGTAGAAAATGCGCAGCCGCATACCAGCCATCTCGTGTCGTTGGCTATGGCTGTCAGGCAGCTATCTGGCCCAGCAGCTCCCCTGATTTCACCGAGAGTGATTTTGCAGTGTACTTCCATTTCTCCCAAGCGCGACTAGATGTCGTGAATGTCCTATTGCTTGTCTGTTTCCGGCAGCTAGATGGACCCCCCTCATAAATAGGGGAGGGGCCTCCCCGATGGCGCGAGACGCTACACACCTCCAGGTGCAGCTGCCATCTTAGGAATGGAGTCGCGCGTGGGAGTTGATAGGAAAGGGGGAGGACAAAAGAGGGAATTTGCCCTGGACTCCACGCCGGCACCCACCCCCAACATGTTATTCATTCCCCTGCGCAATTCCAGTCCCAAGATGGCGCAGGCACTTGTATCTCTCGAGGAAGCGAAGGCCTCTCCAGAGACATCTTCAGTATATACTAAAACACTCGATGAATCCCCTGTCTTGTACGTCATCCAAAATGGTTTCACCGTGCGAGTTCCTCACTCTGCCACTGGATGGCAATACTGCCCAGCTGGCGTTACTACAATCATGATCCCTAAATAGCTATGGTCACTGGACTCGACCCATGCCCCATGACGACCTGGAGTTGAAGCCGAATCTCGCCGGTAGATACAGGAAAACCTCGTTAATTCGAAATCCAAGGGACCAAAAAATACCGAATGGGTTCGAATTATCCGATACGACCATTAATTTCATAATACTGTACTAAATCCGCGTGTTCTCTTTTGTTGGTTTCGTGGCCACCTTCTGCCAGCTCCTCGATGGTGTCACGATTTTTAAGGAATGTGGATAGAGTTGAAAACGGTATGACGAATTCTTTTGCGATATCGGTCTTCGATTTTTCTTTCTTGTCCACTTCACAAATAACTTCCAACTTCTGTGAAATACTTAACTCGTTGTACTTCCTCTTGGTCGTAATGGCACATTCACCCCCGTTTCACTCACAACGTTTCAGCCCCCCCCCCCCCCCACCGTTCTGCCTAGCCCCCCCCCCATTGGTGAAACCCTGGCTACGCCACT